GGGAGAGGTCCATCAGCATCACGGAGGAGGTGAACAGGGTGAGGCCATCCAGGCTGGCGTACAGCAGCCTGTGGAACTCCCAAACACGGACATGACTGGTGTGCTGGAGAAGTTGGAGGAGAGGACCCTGGAGGAGACGGAACCGATCGTTGACATGGAACCGATCCTTGAGACAGACCCGATCCTGGAGGAGAGCGACTTTTCCCGGGGAGCCCTCCTCTTTGCTCCTCTGAAACAATGGCAGCTCTGGGTGGTTGCGGGAGGACTGGCGCTGCTCGTCGCGCTCTGCTTGGGGCTCTGGAGAAGGACCCGTGCTCCAGACAGTGGAGATGAGCGGGAGAGGTCCATCAGCATCACGGAGGAGGTGAACAAAGAAGAAAGGGAAGACGATTTCCATCCGGAGGAGCGGCTGGTCAGGGAGAAGATCCGACGCTCAGCGCGGAGCCTGGCCTGCAGGAGATGGGAGGTGGAGACGGTGGTGGGCGATGTCCTTGGTGTCCTCCAGATCTGGAGAAGGACCCGTGCTCCAGACAGTGGAGATGAGCGGGAGAGGTCCATCAGCATCACGGAGGAGGTGAACAAAGAAGAAAGGGAAGACGATTTCCATCCGGAGGAGCGGCTGGTCAGGGAGAAGATCCGGCGCTCAGCGCGGAGGCTGGCCTGCAGGAGATGGGAGGTGGAGACGGTGGTGGGCGATGTCCTTGGTGTCCTCCAGAAGCGCCTGTCCCAGAACTTCTTCCTGGTGCCGCAGGCAGCCATCGGGGTGGGCAGCGCCTTTGAAGGCTGGAGTCCCTGTGGGCCTGACGCTGTGTTCCGGCTGCTGGTGCCCCTGAAACCCTCCCGGGGACATGCCTTCCAGCTGGAGCTGGGCCCTGCAGGAGACACAGCGGCAAAGCACCGTGTCCGCGTGGACCTGGCGTGCACCTGCTCGAAGGAGGCCCGTGGGGAGGAGGCCATGCTGTGCTTCGTCCACCAGCCCTATGAGGCGCTGGAGAGAGATCAGGACTCCGGCCTCCTGTGCCAGCTCTGCACCGGCCGCTACCTGGATGCGCAGAAGGTCGCCCGCTGGTTCCAGGAGCTGGTGAGCTCAGCCTGGGAGGAGATGGGTCTTGGGCGTCGCTACCGGCTGAGGGTGCTGCCTTCCCGCCGCTCCTGCAAGCTGGAGCTGACAGGGGCCTCCGGGAGATCCGTCGTCGTGGAGCTGCTCTTTGGGGTGCAGCGAGGCGAGTCGGACCTCTTCCTGAGCAGCCAGGCTCCAGAGGCCATCTTCACGCCGGGCATCATGTGGACAGAGAGCTCCGCTGTGGCAGAGGCCAAGTTCTTCAGCCACGTGGCCAGGCAGGCCCTGCCTGACAGCCTCCACCTCCAATGCCTGCAGCTCCTCACCGGCAGCCTGGGAGGCACGGTCCTTTCCTCCTACACCTTCAAGACGGCCGTGATGCACCTCCTCAACCTGTGCCCCGGGACAAGCGTGCCATTCACCCTCCAGCTGCAGGACGTCATGGACTACCTGCGCAGCTGCCTGGAGGAGAAGCGCCTCCATCACTTCATCTTTGGCAACGAGTGCTTGCCCGAGGCCATCGTCTTGCCCCCAGCCACCCAGCCAGCTGAGCCAGTCAACCTCTTCCAGTGCCTGGTGGAGGATCCAGAAGCCCACGCCAAGGCACTGCGGGAGTTCCAGGAGCTGCAAGGTCGGCTCACGGGCCTCCTGCTCTTTGGAGCCTGAAAGAGGTTCTCACCTCTGGCAGCACCTGCGTGGTTGTGTCCCCTGGGGCTCTGCCTGCTGTCTGCCGGAGGGCCCCTTCTCCCTGGGACCTTCTGCCCTTTGTACATAGTTGTCAATACACCGTGTCTTGCACAAAAAGCTGCGTCTCTGAGTGTGTGTGCACCGTTCCTGGGGGGAAGGCGGGCATCGGGTGCGGGCTGCTCGGCCGCCCGAGGGTAGGAAGAAGCCCCTGCACCAGTCCAGGGTGGGGGCTGAGCTGCTGGAGAGCAGCTCTGAGGAGAAGGACCTGGGAGTCCCAGTGGACAGCAGGATGACCTTGAGGCAGCCATGGGCCTTGTGGCATAAATGTTTATGGCTTTTATTTATATGTTTGTTGTTCCCCACTGGCAGAATCACCCTCGAGGCTGCAGGCCATCTCCTGCCACTGCTGCAAGAGGATGAGCACTCTAATGAGGTGCCTCTCCCTCTCCCCCATCTGAATGGCTTCGTGTCCGCCCCATCATCCTCTTAGGCCATACGGAGCATGGATTTGAGTCCACTCAGGCTAAACAGAGCGTAAAACGGCGGTCTTTCCTCCACCTTAAGCAGGTCCCAAGCCCATGACTCCCAAGTTAAGGTGCTCCACACAGGGTCAGCTTCACGTTACCTGAGCTGTGGTTGTCACCATCACAGCTCTGACTGCTCTACCCAGCCCTGCTGAAGTTGACCTCCTCATGCTGCAGGTAGAAGTCAACTTCTGCAGAGAGTTGAGGGCTTTAGCAAATATCCCTCTCAGCTGCTGCTTCCTGACTTTGTTAGCAGAATCAGACTCTTTTTTTTCTGCTGTGGGAAGGTGACCTCGAAAAACTTTTACAGTTTGTGAGAAACTGAAGCCTTTTTTTCTGTCCATATGGAAACGTGGTCTTCATTTTCAAAGAGCTACTACGTAGGACTGTCTTTCCCATCCGTGTTTCCTTTGATGAGTGGGAAGTATGGAAGCTTTGATGTCACCTGCTCTTCTGCCTGACCCCTTGTTAGTATTTCATATGCTCTGAACTGAAACTTTGCAAGTTTTTAAGCCTTCCCCTTATTCCGTCACTCAAAAGGCACTTGTTTTTGAAGGCCTGCTATGCTTTCCACAAAACTCTTGCAATGCCACTTGCTGTGCATCTGCCTGCTAAATCCAAGTTATTCACGTTTTTATGTTAAGTCCCAACCAGGAAACAGGTTGCCCTTGCCAGCAGTGCCAAGAGAGTCCTAGAATCACAAGATGCTTTGGGTTGGAAAGAACCTTTAAAGATCATCTCATCCATGGGCACAGGACACCAACACCTCCGGGTCCTTTTCCTTGGGGCAGCTCCAGCCACTCTGCCCCCAGCCTGGAGCGTCCATGGGGTTGGTGTGACCCAAGGGCAGGACCCACCACTTGGCCTTGGTGACCCTCACACCATTGTTCTGGGCACCATCCATCCAGCTTGGCCAGACCCCTCTGCAGATCCTTCCTGCCCTCAGGCAGATCAACATACCACCCAACTCAGTGTCCTCTGCTAACTTAGTGAGGCTGGACTCTGTCCCCTCATTCAAGTCATTGATAAAGACATTAAATAGGACAGAAAGGGAACATTGCAGCTCACGCCTCCCCTACAACCCCGATCATCTCACCCCAGTCACTGTTGGGGTGCTCTTGGTTCTGCACACGTCAAGCCACCGCTCCCTCTGCCCTCAGTGATAGGGGACACCAATTTCCTGCAGCTCCCCAAAAGGTGGGAGCAAACTCACTGCACGACTCCGGGTCCCCTCTTCACCTCTCCCTTTGCTTCATCGCGACTTAAATCAAAAGGTCAACAGAACTTTGATTCAACCGAATTCAACAGACACCCTGGCTTTAAACCTCCTGGCACTTGGCAGCTTCGGCAACAAGCGTAATTGTCAAGTGCTTGAAAAATTAATTTCTTTTTAAAATGCCACTGTTTGTTCTGAAAAAGTGTCTGGTCAAAGCGCAGCCTCTATGTCACCCTGTGGAGAAGGAGGCCAAACTGCAGAAATCATCGCGCTGCATTTAACTATGAACCACAGGACTAAACAAAGAACAGCAAATTGCACGCTGAAAACCCATTTTCCATGGTGGAAAATTCATCAGAGAACCCATGTTTGGCGCAATTGCCAGTTTTAAACATAAGCCTCCTTCACAAACTACAGGTTTTCTGCTTTGGTGTGGCTTTAGGGTTTGCTGTTGGCTTTTTTTTTTTTGTTGTTCTCCAAGATAAAATGGCCATTATGATTTGATGTGAGACACAAAGAGGTACAAATCCTTTAATGGGAGCAGAGCAAAACTCTCATCTCAGATACTTCAGAAGCCAAGTAACCGATGGCAGATGCCTGTATGTTGCAGAAACAGTTATGCGACTTCCAGAGGAGATTTAGATTTCTTTCCCTTTAACGTCAATTTTTATTTTTATATTCTTCCTTTCTGCATCACAAGCAGGGAGCGGACAAGGTCTGGATGCAGAGTGCCAAGAGGAGGGTGGTCCAGAAGGGAGTTGTTGCTGGCCCAGGAGAAGCAGGACTGATGAGAGGCAGGAATGACCAGTCAATACAATGAGGAGAAACCCTGACGTGTTGACATAAAAACTCAGCAGCTGAAGCGCTGTGAACACATTGCCAAGGACTTAAGACTGTCAGGAGAGGAATAAGCCAGAAGGAAATTGTGGGTGGGGAAAGGAAGGAGAAACCCACAAAAAACCCCAAAGATAAACAGGGAGAAGAATCGGGAGAGCATGACAGAGTGATCAGCGAGATTTCCCAGCAAGATTTAATTGCTGGTATCAGCAGTGGCCAGGAAATCAAGGGGAGGAGACACAGGGCAGAATCCTTGAGTTTGGTCACCCAGAGGCTGCAGCCAAGGAGGATAAAATGAAGAGTTGTCCCCTCGGTGTGGGACCAGCTCCACAACGTGTCACCAGCAGCGCCTGAGGTTGAGAAGAGGTGGGAAACAGGGTGGTAGTGGGAAAGGTGTGGATGTCACTGTGTTTCTGAGCTGTGGATCTCTACAAGGATGCCAGGGGAAAGGATGTGTCGGTGCTGGGGAGGGAAAACACAGGCTGGTTCCAGCCTTGCAATCCTCTGTAACTCTTCCCCAGCTCTTCTCCAAGATGCCACCAATCCTCCCCAAAATTTTACGCTGCCTCAGCAAACTGCAGCAACTGGACCTTCTTCTGAGCGAGTGAGGCATTTACTGCTAGAAACACAGTGCAGAAAGACTTTTGTCCTTTAAATAAATCCCAGTCTTAAAAAAAAACCACAACCCACCAACAAACAAAACTGCAAGAATGGAAGTGGCATTTGATAGTTACCCAATTTACCAGTGAATCTTTTATTTAACAAGCCTTCCTCCTTTCTCCTCCCCCCTTCCCCAATGGATGTGTTGAGGGGGCCTCAGCCTGAGGACTAAAAATGTAGCTGAGGGAAGGAATTGCTTTAGTCCCCAGGCCCGTTTCTCCTGATCAAGCCATTATCTCATGCCCGTGAGCAACATCTCCTCCGGATGCGCGTGCGGCTGCTTGTCGAGCTTGTTACGTGTCCCAGGGCTACCAGCCCCAAGGGGAAGGGAGAGATCTCCTCGCTCGTGTTACCATATTTGTTCAAGGAGGCAGAGAGACATCTTCCCGTCTGCCGTGACTCAAGGACAGAAGCCCACTGGGCAGGCTGGGTTCTGAGGTGTGAGTATTTGCCGGTGAGAGAAGCCGCACCGTGAACAGGCCTGGGCAGTCCTGTAATGGGGTAAGACTGGAAAAGAGATTTCCCGGCACCCAGTTCAGCAAAAAAAACAACCCCCTTTTTCATTTACTTTTGGGTGAGACGGTGGTGGAGGCTCAAGGCAGCCCGTGGGAGCAGATTAAAATGGGTAGGTGACATCTGAGGAGCTTCTGCTGGGGAGCATTCCTGCTACGCTAAACCACCAGGGCTGCCTTATCTGCTCGTCTCTTCCTCTCTTTTCACAGAATCACAGAATCTTAGTGGTTAGAAGGGACCTCCGAGATCATTGAGTCCAACCACATTAAAAAAAAAAAAAACCAAAACAAAAAAAGAAAAACCAAACCCAAACCCAAAAACACCACCCACCAACTAAACCCCTCACCCACAACCCCACACACAACACCCCACCACAAACCAATAATCTCGGGCACCAGAGCATGCCCTGAAGAGCCACGTCTACACGTTTCTTAAAGCCCTCCAGGGATGGTGACTCCACCACCTCCCTGGGCAGGCTGTTCCAGGGCCTGACCACCCTCTCAGGAAAGTCATTCTTCCTCAGATCTAATCTAAACCTCCCCTGCCCCAACTCCAGACCATTTCCTCTGCTCCTGTCATGATTCCCTTGGGAGAAGAGACCGACCCCCACCTCTCTACACCCTCCTTTCAGGGAGCTGTAGAGGGCAGTGAGGTCTCCCCTCAGCCTCCTCTTCTCCAAACTAAACATGCCCAGGGGATGGGGAGGGCATGGGATGGGGAGGGGGAGGGAAGGGAGAAGGCATCTGTCAGTGGTTTTGGTAAATTTGGCCAAAACCACTTAACCAAAGTTAAACCACTTTCCTCCTTTCTCCCAGTAGTACCTGGGAATGGTGTGGTAAGACAAGAGATGTGTTTGATACTGTCATGTTCTTTTCAAAGTTCTGGTGGTCCTTGTGGTAGTTGCAGTGTCACACACTAAAGGATGGGAAGCTCCCGAGTGGCAGCTCCTCTTCTCTTCCATGAACCTGCCCAGCGCTTGGCACCCCCCCCAAATTCAACCACATTTTTTCAATGTGTTTGACCTTTCTTTGCTACTTTTGACCGGGGAGCTCTCTTCTTCAGTTGTGGATCTAAAAGGCTTTGGGTTTCTTCTGACATGCCTAGAAAAAGATGACGTGCAATTATGCAAAAAGTAAACTTTTAGGAATGTGTCTTTACATCAGGGTAAATCAGGTCAGGCAATACTCTTATGAAAGGATTCTAGAAAAAATAAAATCAGCACTCTTTAATCAAAATATGTATCAATGATGAACGTTTCAGGCTTTCCTTTAATCACCTGCTGTAATTTACATAAAAGCTGAGTAAGAGAAGCAGTTTTGAGTTTCCTTTGATTATACTAAAATGGGAAAATATTTATTACAGTATGACTCATAACCAAGGGTTTCAGGCTTCTATATTGTGCAACCTGAACCACAGAGAAGTGTTTGACATTTAAATTTCATTCAGTACTAAGACTGATGTGAATAAAAACATGGTCATACTCTTTTTGGCCCCTTTGGTAAAAGATCTCAATTTCAAACTTCCAGAAATTTAAGGTGGACAGTCAAGATTCATTGATGGGGAATTTGTCCTGTTTGAAGTCAGCTGAATCTGACTTCATTTGAGCATTCAAATGGTGCGGAGAAAAAAGAAATTATCCAGCACTGCGATGTCTTGTGCAATGGATAGTTCAGATTTATTTAGTATTTTGCATTATGATAGATTATGGATTTTTTTTTTTTAATTAAGATTTAAAATCCCTAGTTTATGAGAAACGTGCCTTCTTTTGGTTGGTTACTATAATGCAAAAGAAGCAGAAAACTTCTAATGCCTCTTGGGGCAAGAAGTATCCAACCTCCTGGTCTGGTGGCCTGACCAAACCTGTTGGCCTGTTTGGCCAAGAATTTGTTTATTTAGCACGGCTGCTGACCTTTTTTTGCCTTTTCCTGAGAGAGGCTGCTCTGTGGGATGGGGTGCGTGTTCCCAACAGGCCAAGTCCAGGCAACTGAAGCAGCTCTCCATATTTTCAATGTGGAGAAACATGGAGACAGGAAGGTGGTTTAGGACATTTACACTAGTCTGCTATGAAGGACCTTCTCTTTCTCCAAGCGCAGAGGGAGAGCACCACGGGAAGGTAAGCCCTTGTGAACATCTCCAAATGTCCTCCCCCTACCCCCATGAGGGTCTACATGCCCTTCTCCAGGCTGCTCCTCACCCTCAGCCACATTTTGCTAGATTGATGTCAAAAGATTGCACTTTATCTGGGAGAAGCTGAATTTCTCCTTTGAGAGTCAGAAAATAGACTCCTAAAAGGAGCTCTACCTTCATTAGGCAGAAAGCAATGGAAATCCAGTGTCCCACACTGAAAAAAAGCTGTAATTACTAACTCTGTGTGATGGAAAAAAGTTTTGCGTTTCCATCTTTGCAAGATTTTAGAAAAATTCTGGAGGAGGAGACATTTATTGACAATTTGCAATAACAGTTTTGGTGGGGAGGTGATGTCTTTCAGCGGCCGCACACCAACCTGGAAATTCACCCAGGTGGGAGGGAAGTCTGCCCTCAGAAGAGAAGAGGGCTCAGCAATGGGAAGGAGTTTGTGTCTTCCTGGAGCCACACAAGGAGGGGAGGAGGGAACAGAAGCTGCCCTTCTCCCACCAGGCAGGGTCCCTGGATGCTGGGCAGAGGGATGCAAAGGTTTTATTCGGTTTTGCGGGGCGGGTGTGGGATCTCGTGCTGATGAGAGAAGTAATTTTTCCTTTCTCTCCCTCATATAGAGTAGAATCATAGAATTGTTGAGGGTGGAAGGGACCTTTAAGATCCTCTAGTCCAACCATCAACCTAACTCTGATAAAAACCATCACTAAACCATGTCTAAGCACTATGTAAACCTGTCTTTTAAATACCTCCAGGGATGGTGCCTCAACCACTGCCCTGGGCACCCCATTCCAAGGCTTCACAACCCTTTCCATGAAGAAATTGTTCCTAATCTCCAACCTGAACCTGTCCCCTGGCACAACTTGAGGCCATTTCCTCTTGTCCCATCACCTGTTCCTTGGGAGAAGAGACCGACCACCCCGTGGCTACACCCTCCTTTCAGGGAGTTGGAGAGAGTGAGAAGGTCTCCCCTCAGCCTCCTTTTCTCCAGGCTGAACACCCCCAGCTCCCTCAGCCTCTCCTCACAAGACTTGTGCTCCAGACCCCTCACCAGCTCCATTGCCCTTCTCTGAACCCGCTCCAGCACCTCAAGGTCTTTTTTTGTGGTGAGGGGCCCAAAACCGGACACAGCACCCGAGGTGTGGCCTCACCAGTGCCCAGCACAGGGGGACAATCACCTCCCGAGTCCTACTCCCCACGCTGTTCCTGATACAGCCCAGGATGCTGGTGGCCTTCTTGGCCACCTGGGCACTCTGCTGGCTCATGTTCAGCTGACAGGTGACCAACACCCCCAGGTCCTTTTTTTTGGAGCTCCAGCCACTCTGCCCCCAGCCTGGTGCATCCATGGGCTTGGTGTGACCCAAGGGCAGGACCCAGAACTTGGCCTTGTTGAACCTTGGGCTCTTGGGCTATCCTAGAATGAAACCCTTTACCATCACATTTACTGGCATGTCCAGTAGTCCTTCCTGTTATTGGTAAAAAAGCCTGTGCTCTTGGGGACCACACTAGCAGATACACTGTATGCAGTCTGTTAAATTACCTTCTGATTATTCCACTGTTGTTTCAATTGCAATAGAAAAAAACCTAGGTTTTAGTCCACTTGGATTTAAAATGCTACGCTTCAGTAGAGGAGCTCTTCAAGTTAGAGCTCATTGTTATTATGAAAAACATTGAGTGAACAACTCACTGCAGAGAGCAACAACTGTAAAAAGAGGGTAAGCAGGCTCTGTGCTGTGAGTGATCAGCAGAAATTAATTAGAACCTCTCCCACAATTAGCCTCAATGGATCCTGGGCACTCTGACACCTTCTTTAAGTGTGAGCCCCCATTAAGTTACTCATTTTCACTGGTCCAAAAAAAAAAATGTTTAATTTTATTTTCCAAGAGCAGAAAGAGTTCCATGACCATAAGATGTGCTATTCTTTTGTGACTCTTTATGAATGGATGAGTTGCTTAGGAATAAAACCCAGAAAATCAAACAGGTTAAAAACTGACTTCAGAACCAACCTGGAAACAGAAGACACGTTGCAGTATTTACGGTGTAAGGCAGGAGTGATTCTCTGCAGGGCCCTCCTCCCACACGTAGCAGAGTAGACAAACTGCAAATACTGAAAGTGGGTTCACAGAAAAATTATGGTAAAATGTGATTTTAAAATGTCCTGTTGTGGCAGGGGAATCATATTTAATCAACGTGCACCCTTAGTCTTGCCTCTGTGCGTTACCCCAGTGAGATCAACTCTGAATGACTGAGGCATCAAAAGTAATTTACCAATTTTTGACAAACAGATGTTTTCCCTCTCTCGTCCCCTCCATTTACATGTTTTGGGGCTTAAAATACCAAAATCCTGCACACAGAAATATGATGTTTCACTCCCTTGCTCTTCACACCACTCATGGGAAAACGACAGCGTAAGGACTTCAAAGAAAGAGGCTTCCTAATACCTTGTAGAGAGATGCTTAAAACTGTGTTTAATGCCATAAATGTGTATAACTAATTAGTCAGACGTTACCACCAAAGCAGACATTTGAAATCGGGTACAGAAAAGAAACACAAGGGGAGATCGCACACAGACCGATGGGCAACATCAGGAAGGCAACATCAGGGCATCAGAGAGCTCTGCAGAACTGACAACTGCCAACAAACATTCGCGCATTGTCCAGTCAAAAGTTTGGCTTTTTTTTTTTTTTTTCGTTTGTTTCGTTTTTTTAAACAAAATAGGCTCATCATTGGTTCTGACTTCATCAATAGTAGGTCGCTTTTCGGGCAGCACACACTGGAAAGGTGGTTACACAAGCCTGGCAAATAAATTCTTTTAAAGTCATGACGTAATGAGAGTATTTTTAGGTCCAAGACTTTCTGCAGAACAGCTGGCTTCCTTTCAAACATGTGAACAGAAAGACCAAAATAACGGTCACGTCAGAAACCGGCCACCAACGTTATCTGCAAAATAAACAAACCCAGGATGATCTTCCATGACCAACGCGGCTAACATAGAATTCTTTTGACAAATATATATATATATATATATATATACACATTTGCTTGCAAAGTATTTCTAAATAGTCTTTTCAAAAAGTATTCTTAGAGTAGTGCAATATAACTTCACCAGCAACTGCCACCAACGAGAGGTAGCCCAGAGAGGACGGCGGGAAGGCTCCTCCTCTCGAGGAAGGTCCCGCCGTTCTCCACGTGGGCAAGAATCCCCTTGAACGTCGCCGGGAGCTACGACTAAGAGCTGTGCAGGGGTAGTCCCTCAGGAATGGAGTCTCTGCCCTCTACACGGGGAGCTGAGCGTGGAAGGTCTACATGCAGCTATCAGAGTATATCCCCAAGTACTCGTTATGCAGTGGCCACTAAGACATTTGAAATGTAAACGTTTCTCCTCTACGTCCCATGTAATTTATAAAACAATGCAGTTTCCATGCAGTAGGGCACAATCGTATCAGAAGAACTGACTACGGCATTAGCTAAGGAAAGAAACCCGGTATATCAGCTTTACCACAACTGCATTTTTTTCTCCTCTACACTATATTTCACATTAGTAACAGGTAATGTGTCATACCATTAAGCGTATTAATATGATCTCGTGATTTGAAAGCAAAAACATCTTCTGCAAGGTTTCCATATTAAAATAGTTATGTGCACGGAAGGTGTTCATGGCATGACACCCGAAGCAATATGGAGTTAGATCGATAGTATTCCCATCAAAGCAGAACTATGAACTTCATTCACTGAACGATGTGGTACAAATGAAGATTACTGGTACACATAGAAAAAATCAGATAGGCAGTCAGTTTACAAACCTGGCAGTATTTTGAGAGAGAGAGAGATATTTTTCAGGTCTTACAATGGAATGATAAAAACGGCAGGAACTTTTGGGAGCTCCAAAAAAGAGGTTTGCACTTGGTGTTTCTCAATATCTTATAAGCAGCCCCTACTGCACAGGGAAACGTTGCACCAGGAGTTAACACCAGGGTCTGGAGTTCAAAAAAATCTGGTAAAACTTAAGTGCAGTAGGCTCCACTACATTGTACTTCTCTTGAAATGTATAAAACATAGAAAATTGTAATGGTGACTTACTGGATAAAAATATTAATTCTCACAATCCGACTGAATTTTTGAGTCAGATTCAAATTTACACCTTTTGCAGATTTAGTCGACATGGTTTGAGTATTTCAGGTGTCTTTGACCATCAAGCAGCAGTGCATATTCACCATTTTGATTCCCTCAACGCGTTACCCTGTTTCTAACAAGGCTTTCAAAGGGAGAAAACCCCACTAGAAACCCTCCTCAAACGTGTCTTTACGGTGCGCAGGATACAGTCAATGAGAAATGCCTTTTTACAGTATTTACAAAATCTCCTCGTTCGATAGAAAGGCAAAATGAATAAACAGCTCAGAGAAAGGAAATGCTGCTTAGGTGTAGGCTTTTTCTCTTATCTTCCCCCCCCAGCAGACACGAGTCCCCCCAGCACGTGGAGCTGGCTAGGCAGGGTTGTTTTTCTTCCTCTTGCTGGGGCTGTGGCTGGGATCCTGTTTCAGCTCATGGTACTGCATCTGTTTAGACACAACATTCAGAAAGACACCGGTCAGGTGGCGATGGCTAGATAAAGAAGGATTTATATTTTTATCTTTTTTTTTTTTTTTCCTCACCCGGGGGGAAAAAAAAAAAAAAAAAAAAGAGAAAGAAAAACAAAAATATCCCCCTGCAAAGTACGTGGGATCCACAGCTGTGGATCCCACGTAGTTTGCAGGGGGATAGTTTTCTTTTTCTTTCTCTTTTTTTTTTTTTTTCCCCCCGGGGGAGAAAAAAAAAAAAAAAGAGAAAGAAAAAGAAAACTATCCCCCTGCAAACTACGTGGGATCCACAGCTGTGGATCAACAGAACAGAATGACAGATCTGGAGTAGGAAGGGAAAACAGCATTAGGAGAATCCTGCCAGGAGGGAAAACAGTGTTCCAAGTAAACTTTAAGCAGGCTACTTCTTTTGTTTTCTCCATGAGCTCTGACAGAGAATAAAAAGTATTCTCTTTAATAAATCGAATTAATATTTTTTGTGATCTTTCTTAAAAACTTGCTTATTTTCCAAGGGTTACCACAGTGGGGATCAGCTTCAGAGCGGGTACGTGCACCCACACCTCCTGTTTACACCAGCTCTGAACCAGGACCCACACCTAGAAATATGGAGAGCAGATAATCTCGGAGATACTGGAGGTGATTTATGTGCCTGACATCATCTCAACGCGTGCACCTTCTCAAGAGATTGCATCCAGCACCACTAAAGCTTATAATTCATAACCAGCTGATTTTTAAAGGAGTTTATGAGCACGGTTTAACTGTGGCCACAGAGAAAACTTTCCTCCCAGGAATGGAAAGGCTGGAGGGCTCTGAGCGCCGCCACGAGACACTGGGAAAAGTGTTGGTGTCACTCTTTTCATCACAGTTGAATGAGAACAACTGCTTTAAAATTTGCTTAAAAATATCCCCAGAAATTAATGAGGCCACATATCCAATTAACCACCACAAGGACACTTGAAAAAAATGTGTACGCACCAATTGCACATCTGAAGGAACTCTGGACAGAAAGTCAAGCAGCTCGTTGTTGTCAATTGCATACGGGTTTCGAAGCTTCTTTGTAAATTTGTTGATGCCTGCAAAAGTGAAAGTTCAAATGTTACTATCGTAATTTTGTTTTTAAAAATAAACATCAATGATTTTGTTTTAGAAATAATAAATAAAAATAAATAAAACCATTAAATGGTGATTTTGTTTTAAAATACAAACATGTATTTTTGGCCAAGTTCTAACAGAGATTTTAGGATCTGTTTACAAAGTCTGACAGCACCGAATAAACGAATGAACGAACTGTAAACTCAGGCTCTAAAAAGTCAGAATCTGCTGCTCCGGTTCCCCCTGCTTCAAAATGCAGAAGTTCTAGGGCCATTTTCAAATTCCTCCAACATACATGTATTTTTTTTAAACTAATAGAGACCATGGTGATCACGTGGAGGTCGCAAAAAGGAGAGGACTCAAGTGTTCTCCATTTCCGTGGCCCAGAGGATGAGCAGTAATGGGCTCTGCAGGACAGAAGATGCTGGTTAGACACAAGAAAAGTCCTTCCAGTGCTGAGGGTGGTGGAGCACAGGTGGATGAGTGCAGCCTGCACCATGTGAAGGCTTTGGGAGGAGTTCACACAAATCTCTCTCCAGGAATGACCGACACAGATGATGCCACCATGTGCAGAGGGGGGATGCGAGGGTCTCACACTGCCTACCCACAGCCACGGGTCAGAAGCACCGAGAAAACCCTCCCCAGACTCAGCAGAAAACAGGGTTTTGAATTCTTATCATTACACAGAGGGTCAGTTTCAGACTCTTCACACGAGAACCTTGTGCCTGGTCTCTGGGAACATGTGTCTGAAACGAGGGCAGGAATGGTACAACCCACACAGGCTCCCGTCAGCGGGGAAAAAGCCAGGACAGCATTAAAAATGTGCCGTTCTGTGTAATTTATTAAGGCTGTATCAGAGATAAGATAATGCCGTTTATCTCCCACAAAGTCTTTGGTGCCCAGGCCTTTCAGAAAGCTCTAGCAAGGACATAGAGCTTCAGGACGATGTAAACACCGAGTCCTGTGGTGCAGACGGGGGATGCTGAGACCCCTTTATCACAGAACCACACAGAATCTTCATGGGTGGAAAGGACCTCTGAGATCACCCAGTCCAACCATAATCTGGCGACTGAACAGTGAGCGCCAAGAAAGAACACCTGAGGTTCAAACACCTTTGTGTCTGTCAAACCCTTTGGGGCTGAGAAGTTCAAGGTTCTACCCCACCGTCTATCACGCGTGGCCACTGGAGGACCCAGGGGAGAGTTCAGGAGTTGACACGGTCCCATCCTGTTGTCCCCCGCAAAGCAAAGAACCAGCCACCAGCCACAAAAGTAAGAGCATGAAGAAGTCATGGTCCAGGCTCAAGAACAGAGCTGAACAGGTGAGATGGGACACGACAGGAGAGCCAAAACCCAAGAAGGAGATTACGGCTTCTCCAAAAGCTTGAAGATGTTCAGATTAGCGTTGTTTTCTTTATGTTCTTTTCCACCCAAACAGCTGCAGCAGTTACCAGGACTCTGCTCTCCTGCAAACAGGATGAGAGCGCAGAGGTGGCTCCTGCACAAGCCACACAAAGGACAGGCCATAACAGGGGAAAATTGTCATTAAATAAACCCCTGTCTTCCCAAAGGACAAACCGGGCAGATGCTGCTAAAGACCACTTCAGCCTCTCCCATGGGCAAAAGTCAGACAAAGAGCTCTTTTGCTCTTGGGTGCAGGATGGACAAATGGGGTGAAGAAATGTGTATAGAAGGGGGAGGTTGGAAACACTAAATGATGGGGAAAACAGGCATGTGTTTGGAATACTGCATTTTTTTGCAGGGACAGCTGCTCAGAGCCCCCTGCTTGGGGTGACATGGCTCTGTGAGAATTCACCCCCAGGAGGTCCAGGCTGCTGAAGCTGTGGCCAAGTGGTACCTGCCTGGTCTCCTGGCACCACCCAAGGGGAGTATTTCCCCAAAGAAGGGATCCCCATGCACTTGCTGAATAAGAAGCCACCTGAACTGAAACACAGGAGAAAAACGTGGATCCGAAACCTCTAGTGAAGAAAGGTGCTTGAGGTGGTATCTCGATAGGCTACATCACCTGGGACAGGGAGGGAGGAGATGGAGGGAAAGAGAGCAAGGTGCTCTTGCAGTAATTAGTGCCTATGTTATCCATCCCTGATTGGGGAGGCTTGGGCTCTGTTCTGGGAGTTGAGGCTCTTCTTTAGGTGAAACAGACTTTTTTGGTAGAGTGTGACCCCTCCCAGGGTACGGCAGGGTACACGTCAGGGGTTTGTCAAACCACACAGCTGACTCTATAGTTCTGTGGGTCTTGGAAAGGTATTAAAATCTCAGGTTCTTGCACGAAACCAAGGGGATGTACGAAATCAAGTCTACAAGATGCCAGATCTGTCCAAAGAATGACATAAAAAGGACACAAACCAGGCACTTCAAACATCAGTAACAAAAGGCCGACCATCACGTGTGTGCGAGGCAGAATGAAATTTTGGGAACAAACCAAAAGTCTGGGCTTCACCCAAGTGATATCGGGTGTGTGGAGAATAAATTAAATTCAGAGACAGGGAAGGACAGTGAGCCCACATCCTTCACAGAATCACCATGGTTGGAAGGGACCTCTGAGATCATCGAGTTCAACCTCAAAAAAACCCAACCCAACCCAACCAACCAACCAAAAAACCAAACCAACAGACAAAAAAACAAAACAAAAACCACAACATCCCACCACATCACACCCACCCACAAACCTAAATGATCTCAGGCACTAGAGCATGCCCTGAAGAGCCACGTCTACACATTTCTTAAAGCCCTCCAGGGATGGTGACTCCACCACCTCCCTGGGCAGCTGTTCCAGGGCCTGACCACCCCCTCAGGAAAGCAATTCTTCCTAAGATCTAATCTAAACCTCCCCTGTCCCAACTTCAGACCATTTCCTTATTGGTTCTTCCCCAGCTTGGTATATTCTGCTGCATTGATTTATGATTATTTATATTACTGATACTGGCTGATACATAACAAATATATTCTTTGGAGTCATTTCAAATGATTTTATATTGTCTCTTGAGTTCAGGAGTTTTTACAAAGGCATGATTGTTATTCTTTTCTTCAGAAAGAAAATCTGGCCACAGATTTAATTGAGGCAGTGCTCCTTGCAGGTCTGCACTGCTGAATGAGGGTACAGCTGCTGGCGGTGCATAAAAAATGTACAAATGAAATCGTGGAGCATTATTTACAACAGATGTGGTAACGGTAGCTGTTTAAAATCAGTATAAAGAATAAATACAAGGACAAGTAATGAGAGCTCGGATCAATCACAGTTCTGCCCCCTCTGCCTGTCCTGCCCCCAGTTTCTGTCCATTATCAACCAGCCAAATACCACGTACACCTTTCTCTCGGACTAAAGGTGACCCTTTAAACAGGTTCCTTGTTGCCATGTTTACATACACTTTCACAAGATAAAGTACTGCAGTAAAAAAGGCATATTGTCCTAAATGCACTATACAGATTGAAATGACTCTGTTTGCGTATAAGTGGCGAAAATAAATCAGAGTAATATCTAGACAAAGCTACACTTTGATATATGAAGAATCCTCATGGATACATGTTTATGGTATGATGAAGTCTGGAATGCCAGCCAAGAAAAATTGATTTTGCAGGTGGGCCTAAATCTTCATGCAGTTGTGATTTTTAACTAACCTGTCTGTTTCCATCATGGGGCAGCTTCATGACCATAAATACAGAAAAGTACTGACAACGTAAGTCATCCCTTAAAAAACAGTTTTTTCTAAGTGGCACAGACAGTTAAAAAAGGCTTTACTTACCCCAGACAAGGACAATGTATCTCAGTGGAATGAAATACAGGATGATGGTGAACACCAAGAGGGCAACAATGGCCAGGCAGCTCAGGAATGGGACAGTCCAGTTGAAAGTACTGAAAGAAAAAATAATGAAAGTCAGAAGTGTGGTGACACGACAGAGCCAATAAAAGAACAAATAATGGGCAGGACGGGGGGAAAAGTGCCAGTTTCCATCGGCGAGAACAAACTGGGACTGCAGAGGGATGCAGGGATGGCGGAGGTCAGGGTGAGATGGGGCTTGGACCCGCTCCCAGTGCAAAGACAAGGAGGTCCAGGCTTCACCCACCCTCCTGCTGATGGGCACCTCTCCTGGCCCCATGGCGCTCCATTTCCAGAGGAAGCATCGCTCCGTTTTTTGGAAATGCCCATGCCCACCCTCAGTCTCAGTATGGGGCAAACCACACACAATTCCTTTCTCTGTAGACACCCAGATCCCTTTCTTCAACACCTGCGCAGAGGAATGATGCTAAGGATTTCAGTTTTATCTCCTCCCTGCTCTACTACGAGGACAGAGAAAGCAGTTAAAGGCCCTTCTCCTCTGCTTGATGTGCACTTGCAACCCCTCCCCGGGACAGAACAGCCAGTCCTGAATACAGGGATAATGCAACAGCAGTGGATGAAATAAGGAAATAAAAACACTTTGGGTGGCCAAAAAAAAACGGAGAAAAAGGATGGAAGGAGAAAAAAAAAAAAAAGAGGGAGTGGCATATGATAAAGTACATTGCGGGAAAAGCAAAGAAAAACTTTATCTTCCAGATAAAATGAAATCAAACAAAGATTATTTTTTTATGGATAAAGGATGAGAACTTCCGGGATCCCATCACAGTGTCAGGATATCAGCGTTCCAAAAAAGCCCTGGATCAAAACGATCCTTAATCAAACCAGCTGGAACAGGTGCAGCGGAGGGCCACGAAGATGCTCAGAGGGATGGAGCACCTCTCCTATGAAGACAGGCTGAGGGAGCTGGGGTTGTTCAGCCTGGAGAAGAGAAGGCTCCGGGGAGACTTTATAGCGGCCTTCCAGTACCTGAAGGGTGCCTAGAGAAGAGCTGGAGAAGGACTCTTTGCCAGGAAGTGTAGTGACAGGACAAGGGGTAACGGTTTTAAATTGGAAGAAAAAAGATTCAGATTAGATCTCAGGAAGAAATTTTTTACTCTGAGGGTGGTGAGACACTGGAACAGGTTGCCCAGGGAAGTTGTGGGTGCCCCATCCCTGGAGGGGTTCAAGGCCAGGCTGGATGGGGCCTTGAGCAACCTGTTTGAGTGGGAGGTGTCCCTGCCCATGGCAGGGGGGTTGGAATTCCATGATCTTGGAGGTCCCTTCCAACCCAAACCATTCTATCATTCTATGAAATTTGTTCAAAGGCAGTTGCAATCCCCATCCCAGGCTCTGGCCGAGCCGGGTTGGGGCCCAAGGGCTCCACCCGTTGCCGGTGGTGCCTGTGATGCGCTCCGGCCCCTGGGACACCACGGGGGACGCGTCACAATGAGGGGGGGCTATAAAGGGGGCCAGCAGGCAGCTGGCCCAGTACGGCCTGCGCCGGCGGTGAGGGAGCTCGCAGCTCTCTTGCTACTCCTTGTGGGCCATGGCTTGGAGAAGAGTCTATGCACTGCTCTTGTTGTGCACCATCCGGCTCCTGCCCAGGGTTGGCAACGAGCAGGGTGAGGCCATCCGGGCTGGCGTACAGCAGCCTGTGGAACTCCCAAACACGGACATGACTGGTCTGCTGGAGAAGTTGGACGAGAGGATCCTGGAGGAGACGGAACCGATGCTGGAGGAGAGCGACTCTCCCCAGGGAGCCCTCCTCTTTGCTCCTGTGGAACACTGGCACTTCTGGGTGGTTGCGGGAGGACTGGCGCTGCTCGTCGCACTCTGCTTATGGCTCTGGAGAAGGATCCATGCTCCAGACAGCAGTGATGAGTGGGACAGGTCCATCAGCATCATGGAGGAGGAGGAGGACAAAGAAAGGGAAGATGACTTCCATGACGAGGAGCGGCTGGTCAGGGAGAAGATCCGGCGCTCAGCGCGGAGGCTGGCCTGCAGGAGACAGGAGGTGGAGACGGTGGTGGGCGATGTCCTCGGTGTCCTCCAGGAGCGCCTGTCCCGCAGCTTCTTCCTGGTGCCGCAGGCAGCCATCGGGGTGGGCAGCGCCTTTGAAGGCTGGAGTCCCTGTGGGCCTGACGCTGTGTTCCGGCTGCTGGTGCCCCTGAAACCCTCCCGGGGACATGCCTTCCAGCTGGAGCTGGGCCCTGCAGGAGACACAGCAGCAAAGCACCGTGTCCGCGTGGACCTGGCGTGCACCTGCTCGAAGGAGGCCCGTGGGGAGGAGGCCATGCTGTGCTTCGTCCACCAGCCCTATGAGGCGCTGGAGAGAGATCAGGACTCCGGCCTCCTGTGCCAGCTCTGCACCGGCCGCTACCTGGATGCGCAGAAGGTCGCCCGCTGGTTCCAGGAGCTGGTGAGCTCAGCCTGGGAGGAGATGGGTCTTGGGCGTCGCTACCGGCTGAGGGTGCTGCCTTCCCGCCGCTCCTGCAAGCTGGAGCTGACAGGGGCCTCCGGGAGATCCGTCGTCGTGGAGCTGCTCTTTGGGGTGCAGCGAGGCGAGTCGGACCTCTTCCTGAGCAGCCAGGCTCCAGAGGCCATCTTCACGCCGGGCATCATGTGGACAGAGAGCTCCGCTGTGGCAGAGGCCAAGTTCTTCAGGCACGTGGCCAGGCAGGCCCTGCCTGACAGCCTCCACCTCCAATGCCTGCAGCTCCTCACCGGCAGCCTGGGAGGCACGGTCCTTTCCTCCTACACCTTCAAGACGGCCGTGATGCACCTCCTCAACCTGTGCCCTGGGACAAGCGTGCCATTCACCCTCCAGCTGCAGGACGTCATGGACTACCTGCACAGCTGCCTGGAGGAGAAGCGCCTCCATCACTTCATCTTTGGCAACGCGTGCTTGCCCGAGGCCATCGTCTTGCCCCCAGCCACCCAGCCAGCTGAGCCAGTCAACCTCTTCCAGTGCCTGGTGGAGGATCCAGAAGCCCACGCCAAGGCACTGCAGGAGTTCCAGGAGCTGCAAGGTCGCCTCATGGGCCTCCTGCTCTTTGGAGCCTGAAAGAGGTTCTCACCTCTGGCAGCACCTCCATGGTTGTGTCCCCTGGGGCTCTGCCTGCTATCTGCTGGAGGGCCCCTTCTCCCTGGGACCTTCTGCCCTTTGTACATAGTTGTCAATACACGGTGTCTTGCACAAAAAGCTGCGTCTCTGAGTGTGTGTGCACCGTTCCTGGGGGGAAGGCGGGCATCGGGTGCGGGCTGCTCGGCCGCCCGAGGGTAGGAAGAAGCCCCTGCACCAGTCCGGGTTGGGGGCTGAGCTGCTGGAGAGCAGCTCTGAGGAGAAGGACCTGGGAGTCCCAGTGGACAACAGGATGACCATGAGGCAGCCATGGGCCTTGTGGCCAACAAGACCAACGACATCCTGGTGTGCATCAAGAAGAGTGTGGCCAGCAGGTGGAGGGAGGTCGTCCTGCCCCTCTGCTCTGCCCTGGGGAGGCCACATCTGGAGTCCTGTGTCCAGTTCTGGGCTCCCATGTTCAAGGACAGGGAACTGATGGAGGGGGTGCAGCAGAAGACCAGAGAGATGCTGAAGGGCCTAGAACATCTCTCCAAGTAGGCAAGGCTGAGGGATTTCGGTCTTTTCAGTCTGGACAAGATTGAGGGGGGATGTGATTCAAGGGAGGGTGTCAAGAGGATGGGCCAGTCTTCTGTCAGTGGTGCCCAGTGACGGGACAAGAGGAAACGGGCACAAACGTGAACATGAGAAGTTCCCATCTCCCTGCCCAAGCGATAATCACCCGAGGTGGTCCCAAGGGGGGCACCTTGTCATGAGGGCGGCATCTGGGGCTCCAAGGTGCTTTGCGGGAGCCAGATAACAACACACCAGCCAAGGGCGGACTTGAGCAATGCTGGTCCTGAGGTCAATGCCAATATGACTAGAGGTCAACCATCTTACCCCCAGAACTAGTCAACGGCCCAAGAGCCCATCAAATGGGTCTTATTGGCCTCATATGACCTTATTGGCATCACTGAGACATGGTGGGATGACTCTTAGGACTGGAGTGTTGGAATGGAGGGTTACAGACTCTTCAGGAAGGACAGGATGGGCAGAAGAGGAGGGGGTGTTGCCCTCCATGTCAAGGACCACCTGGAATGTATGGAGCTCCAACTGGGGACGGATGAAGACACAACAGAGACCTTATGGGTGAGGATTAAAGGGAGCACGGGGGCAGGTGATGTTACAGTAGCAGTCTGCTACAGGCCACCGGATCAAAGTGACAGTGAGGATGCGGCCCTCTATAAACAGGGGCAGCATCGCACTCACACACTCTGGTACTCATGGGGGACTTCAATCACCTCGATACCTGTTGGAAGGACAACACAGCGGAGCACAGGAAATCCAGGAAGTTCTTGGAATGCGTTGATGACAACTTTCTTTTTCAAATAATTGAAGAACCCCCGAGGAAAGGAGCAGTGCTGGACCTTGTCCTTACCAACAAGGAGGGGCTGGTTGGGAATGTCAAATTCAAGGGTAGCCTCAGCTGCAGTGATCAGGAGATGATCGAATTCAAGATTCATAATGCGGTAAGGAGGATGTGCAGCAAGCTGGCTACCCTGGACTTCAAGAGAGCAGACTTTGATCTCCTGAGTGATCTGATTGGCAAGGTAGCATGGGAAAAAGAACTAGAGGGGAGAGGGGCCCAGGAGAGCTGGGTGGTATTTAGGGATTGCCTCCTCCAAGCTCAGGAGAGGTGCATCCCAAAAAAGAAGAAGTCGGGCAGAATAGCCAGCGGGCCTGCACGGATGAGCGGGGAACTGCTGGGCCAGCTCAGGACCAAGAGGGAGGCCTAGAGAGGGTGGAAGCAGGGAAAGATGTACTGGGTAGACTACAGAGGAACTGTCCGAGTCACTAGAGGTTGGAACTGAGTTCCACCAGGGGTTGGAACTCGATGATCTTTGAGGTCCCTTCAAACCCTAACCATTCGATGATTCTATGATTCTATGATTAATAAGGGCCCTAAACTCCATACTGGGATAGAAATCCTGCCGGTTCCCAGATTTTGCAGAGGTTGAGGTGTGGGAGGAGAGGGAGCAGAAGCTAACAAGCCTTGAAACAGCTGGGCTGTGGCTCTCCCACCTCTGTGTGCGGGGAAGAGAGGGAGGGCAGGTGGCAACTCATACCTACGTCCCACAGGAACGCCAGCGAAAAGGAGCTTGGCTCCACGGGATGGTTCCATGAAGGCACCACCACGTCAAAGGTGCTGCATGACATTTACCCAGAAGGAAAATGTGGCCTTGGCTCTAAATAGCCTGATGACACTCTTTAAAGTATTACCACTAGCTACATGCCCAATCAGCGTGATTACATTATTTTGGCTTCTCTGGCTGAATAACTGCAATTATCTGAATTGCTAGCCATATTTTTCATAATGAGCTCTGGCTTCCCATGTTTATTTGTCTTCTTTCCTCCCTGGCAATTTTGACATGTCTCCAGAGTGAACATGATGTCAGCGTCACTTGGTGCAGGATCACTCCCTTCCTCCTCAGGGGACACCTGCTCTTTTCCCCTCTTCTGCCCGCATTTGGGATGAACAGAAGGTGGAGGGTCTGCTCGTGTTCCTGCGACTCGGCTCCGTACGAGGGATCGCAGACACGCCATGTGTGGGAACACTGGCTCCTCGCTCCGCAAACCTCCTTCTGTGCTGCCTTAGCACAGCCCTGGGGACAGGTTTCCCATTTATAGCGTTAGGAACAAATTACAAAGATTTATAGGAAGATTCGGTCTCACCCGGTTTAGAAAATTCTGTTGCTCTCATCTGGTCTATAGTGGAAAGAGCCCTACTTCCAAAATGCACAATTAGAGAAACTTAATCATCAAGACAACTGCCACGAACAGCCTTTTGATGAAAGACTTCTTTCAGAGGGAAGCTTATTTCGCTTGTCCAAAAAACAGTGCAATATAATATAATGTGGTCGCTCCTGCTCTTGCTGCTGTGAACATGACCTTCTTGGAAATGTCCCCATGGGAACGTTTCCCGGGCTTTCCTATTGGGGACCTTGCTCTTAAAGGCATAAATGGCAACCACCTCTTCATCACAATCCTGATATGCTTCCCTTTTCTGACAGATTTAAAAAAAAAAAAAACAAAAAGAAAAGGCAGAACAGCATGATAGATGAAAGGAGGGTAGAGCAAGGTGGGGGTCAGTCTCTTCTCCCAGGTAAGAGGCAATAGGACAAGAGCAAATGGCCTCAAATTGAGCCAGGCATTAGTGAGGTTTAGGATGGAAATTAGGAAAGATGTCTTCACTGAAAGGGCTGTCAAACATTGGAACAGGTTGCCCAGGGAGGCAGTGGAGTCACCATCCCTGGAGGTGAAGATGTGGTGCTGAGGGACATGGTTTGGTGGTGGTTTTGTCAGCGTGAGGTTAACGGTTGGACTTGACAATCTTAAAAGTCTCTTCCAACCTGGACCACCCTATGATTCTATGATCCTCCTGCTTACTGCAGGTTGACCTCAGGTTAATGGTTGGACTCGACAATCTTAAAGGTCTCTTCCAACCTGGACCATCCTATGATTCTATGATCCTCCTGCTTACTGCAGGTTGACCTCCACCCAAGGCATCTGTTTCCTAAAATTCCTTTCCAAAAGTCAGTACTTATTTTGGGGCTGTACCCCTTGGGCAGGCTATGGTCTCATGGGTGTGGAACACCACTGTCCACCCAAGGCATCTGTTTCCTAAAATTCCGTTCCAAAAGTCAGTACTTATTTCAGGACTGTACCCCTTGCGCAGGCTATGGTCTCACTGCAGATGGCACCAGCAGTGGATGAGACAGGAGCTCCTAGATCACACCCAGAACAAGGGACCACACAGCTCTGACTCTCCTGTAAGATGTTCTACTTTACAGAAAGGCCTCTTTTGAAGGTTTTCCACCTTCAAATCTCTGCTTGCCCCCTCTGCCCACAGCTGAAAGACGGTTGGAAGGCTATTCTCCCAGCTTCTCATCCGGTGAGGACGAGATGCTCCTGGCTTTTGGGGAGCAGAAAGCCAAGTCCATCCTGTCCCTGCTTCACAGCCCAATGGCTGGAAGACATTTTTCTAGAACCTGTCTGATCTCAAATAATAAACTTTACAGTGCTGTTCACTGACCATGCCGAAAACACACCAAACTTCCTGCAATAAATCTCAGAACCTCTCTTGCTTAAGGCCTGAGTTTGTTGGCAATTCTTATATATCATGTATTAGGTGTTACAAATTACATATGCTCTAGGAGGAAAAGTTTTGCTAACTCCCATAAATACAACACTTCCATACCCTTAAACATACGCATACCCTTAAAATCTGAACCCCCTATTCAGATTTGCTTATTTCCTTTATCAAAGCTGCATTTTTTTATTATTTCTTTAAAATAACTACTGTTAGGCCTCACAACAATATTCTCTTTCCGATTTACTTCCAAGCCTCAGTTCTGATTTTCTTTCCCAATTATGTTTCTGAATTCCAACGTTTATATGACAGCGTTTTCATTAACTGAGGGCCTGCACAAAGCAAAGTAAAGACAGATGAGCTTCAGCAACGGATCGTCCAAAACTGGAGTCCCGCAACAAAAATAATAATAAGAAAAAGAAAATAAAAAAGGTCTAACACTTTGTACCTCAGCGTGGAAAAAATACATGACAGGTATCAGAGAGCAATCCAGCACCTGTGTCAGCACTTACTTCTTGATCCTTTCTCCCAAGGAAGCCACTTCATCAAGGATATTCTGGACACTGACACACACCTCCTGGATGGCATAAAGTCTGTTCATAAATCCTTTTTTTTCACTGTCCTAAAGGAAAGAACAGGAGTAGTTGAGCAAAAGAATTTCTGACTGTAGGAAAAGCCATGTATCCATCAGTTGAGGTTCAAGAAGGCATGTGTTATAGATTCATCTAAAAGTAATTGGTAAAACCTGGCAATCAGAATCGTTTCCTTATTCTTTAAGCAGTGCCTATTGACCATGAGTATGTTTTAGTACATATGCTGAGCACCACACAATTTTGTTTGTCATTGCATTAATTTCTAGATACATATTTCAATAAGCCAGGTCTGTGGTTTATAAACATGTTGAAGGTGTCAACCTCATATGTTTGACTCGAGTGATAAGACTCAAAAGGTGGAATAAGGACAGTTTGTCCAAATGTTGGTTCTTGTGCTGATGTAGGTGTCAGGAAGATAAACATTCCTTGTGGGAGGCATGAAGCAAGAAACCAGAACCACCTCAGATCCCACAGACATGATCCCCTCTGGCTTAAACACGTGTTTAAGCTGCCAGACGTTCCCGTGACCACCACCATCATCTACTCTACCTTTCCACTTGGCCGGTGAGAATGCGCTCGCTCTCTCTCCCTCTCTCTCTCATTTTTCCTTACTAATATTCAGGTGCCAATACCATGAAACTCCGACTGCCTTTACAATATGATTAGTGCACTCCATGGCTCCAAGAGCATACAAAACACTAGCCATGGATGAAATGAAAGGTGCAGGAGAGGTGTCATTGTCAGAATTACTGCCTTACTTACTCAGGTTTCTATGCACTATTGGACTTTCAGTCACAAAGTCATCACTTCATGGTTATATAAATGTCTAACCATAACTTCATTTTTTAAAAAAAATTTATCTAGATTCTTTGTGACCCTAAAAATGTGGTGTTTTTGTCAAAAACAGAGTGACCATGGCTAGCCATGGCTTTGAGTGTCCCTCCAAGGCAGGACCCACCCTTATCAAGATGTTTTCTGGGATCTTTGATCGATTTGCCATCAGCGAATGTTGTCCTTCTGCCAACTTGAGCAGACTTTGCCTTCTAGAAGAATCCAACAAGGTGCTACTTGGGTACATCAATGCCCTCCATGGACCATCCATGGGCCTCCTTCTGCTCTGACAGCCTGTTCTTTTTTCCCCCAAAAAGCTTTCTGTATCCAAATCCAGCATCAAACCCATGCAGAGCAACAGCACTGTCAAAAAAATGCTGTGCTAGATGGGATTAAAATGGAGCATCAGCATGGAAAAAAAAGACAATTTCTCTTCATTTTTCCCCAGACTACACGTAACCCAAAAGCTCATGTTCAACATTTCCAAAGGACTGATGCCATTTTACCCAATCTAGTTTGAATTTAATGAGATTTTTCTCAAAATAAGAAATGGAAAGAAAAATACTTGCAAAGTATTTGATAACAAAGTTGTTCAACAATTTGCCATTACAAAACAGACAATACAACAGTGTTTGTAATTGACTCTGAAGTCCAGTACCTAAGAAACCAGCATATGTTGCATTTAGTTTTTACTTTTTTTTTTCCTGGTGCTTAATTAGCAGACTGTATATTGGTTCACTTATTTTTTTTTTCATTTTTGCTGTCTTAATAAACCAGTTTGGATGAGGAAAACATCATTGAACATTTAATCATCTGGAGTTACTTCAGTGACACTGGTTCTGCAAGTATGACGTCAAAACGTCTTGTGAAGACATTGGAAGTATTTAGCTGCTGAATACAGATTGTCTAAAAACAACAATCATGAGGGAGACGGACAGACAGACAGAGATGGCAAATTTTAATGTGTCATTTAAAAACCCAAACATTTCAGAAGCAGCAAAACAGGCAGTTTCTCAGGCAACTTGAAAGAGCTAATGTTGTCAGTCAGGACTGGCAATTATACCACTAAAACATATTTTTGTTTGATGAGGATGATCATAACCACTGACACCAACTACATCCAGTGCTGCCCGACTCATTTGTGAAGTTATTTTGTTAGTATTTATTACGTTCTTGAAACCCTGACAGCAAGAGCATTGCTGTCCCCAGGTACACAGCCCCAGGGGCGGTGCGGCGTACATCCACCCCCTTTCATTCCTCGTTGGGAAAGAGATACCTGCCCCACGCCTTCACAGAAAACACATGATTCCAGTACTGGAGAAACATGAAAATAATCTGTCTTCTCACGGAGCAGAAGCAAAACAATAAGCCATACAGAAATCACAGGTATTTTGCTGGTATTTAAATACATAAACATTTTGCCTTTTCGGTTCTGTTTGACAGATTCTGCCCTCTCTATAAAGTTATTTCGATTTATAATTAAGTTGTGTGAGAAAAGAATTATGTCACCGCAACAAAGCCGGCACCCTTTGTGACGGAACTCAACTGGGATGATGTTCAGAGGTCCTGAGGCTGTTTTTCTTTACAAATATTTTACAAGACAAACGGGTACCTTTCCTTGAAAACACATCTGGTTTGAATCATTCCCCTAACCTCCTCCCCCCACCAAAAAATAACCCAAAGACAGAAAGAGGCAGAGAAAGAATCACTATTTCCAACTGCCCCCCCCCACACCCCGCACCTTCTGAGCTTAAAGAAAATTTGTTGACATACTCCGAGGCAGGAATAGACAAAACAGCGCAGGAAAGAGGAGGCGGAGAGAAGGATCAGGGTTCGGCTTCGCTTAAACTAATTCCACATGCCCCGCAACTATTAGCTGTTTTTTATTTCCTGCTCCAAAGATTTGTGGAAAGAATAATCTGGGCTAGGGAAAAGCTCCCCTTATTTTCTTCTTGCTGCGTTAGCAAATACAACATGTGAGCCACCTTAAGCGAACCGGGGTTCTTAATAATCCATTTTTCAAACACTATGGGTATTTCCTTTCCAAAGAAAGATGGGCTGGGACTGGAATCAATTTCATCATTTGTATGGCTACAATTGCCAAGTTTCTGGAAATAATTGCCATTTAAATAGTAGATAAAATTTAATACACAAAGCTAATAACAGCTTTATTACTATTTAACTTCCATGATTTGTTTGTTTGCAGCAGGCTTAAGGTACCTGAAAAGCAAGATGTTTTCTAGGGGATGGTTTTGGGCATAAACTGTGAAAGCAAAGTCAAACGGATGTTGACAGCCTGACTTGAATTTACAAAAGGGAGTGAACCCCAAGTAAAGACTGAGACCACGTCCTCCTCCTCCTCCATGGGAAATTGTGTATTACAGATTGAAACCCTGCTTGGCCAATTACAATACTTCACTCTTGTACACTGATTTTCAGCCATAACCATATTTTACATTTGGTGAAACCAAAGTAAACAGCTGGTTCTAGACAGTGTGGAGCTAATGCACATGAACCCTCGAACACAACCCATGATGTCTGAGTCTCTTTATCCAGTGGACTACGTGTCCAATCCCATCATAAAATAGGGTCATTTAGGAAAGGATTATATATATCTCTAACCCCAAACCCCGCTCTTCTCTAGGTTAAAGTGCATTGGCAAAGCAAACATTTCAAAAGACAGGGAAAGCAGGAGAAATAAGTAGGCCAGACTCAAAAGTAAACTTTGGTAATGTTAATGGAATTAAGCCAGCAAAAAGAAGAGTTTTAAGTGAAAGGAGACATTTTTAGTACAGAGAAGGAAGCTCAGAATTTTTTATGGTGGATAACCAATATGGTAGATTTTTATGGTGGATAATAAAAAAAGACATGGAGGTGCTGGAGCGGGTCCAGAGAAGAGCAACGGAGCTGGTGAAGGGTCTGGAGAGTAAATCTGATGAGGAGAGGCTGAGGGAGCTAGGGGTGTTGAGTCTGGAGAAGAGGAGGCTGAGGGGAGACCTTCTCACGCTCTCTAACTACCTGAAGGTGGGGTGTAGAGAAGCGGGGGTCGGTCTCATCTCCCAAGTCACAGGAGACAGGACAAGGGGAAATGGCCTCCAGTTGCACCAGGGGAGGTTCAGGCTGGATATTAGGAAACATTTCTTCACAGGAAGGGTTATCCAGCATTGGGATGGGCTGCCCAGGGAAGTGGTTGAGGCACCATCCCTGGAGGTGTTCAAAAGACAGGTTGACATTGTCCTCAAGAATATGGTTTAGTGATTTTTTATTGCTTATTTCTTATTTATTATCTTGTCAGGGTTAGGTTGATGGTTGGACTAGATGATCTTTAAGGTCTCTTCCAACCTAGACAATTCTATGATTCTATGATTCTAACTGTCCTATTAGTAACTGCTAAGTTAGAGAGAAAGGCACAGACCATAAACACAAAAATCGTAGGAGGGTTTCAAGAACAATAGTCAATTTTGAAATTTTTTGGAGATGCTGTCTGGGAAAGAGAGAGGATCCAGATGTATCTTCCAAAAACACCCCTTGTTGCCCAAGCTGATACGATGGAGCACCTCTGTTTGGACCACACCACTGAGACAAAGCCAGAATAACCTGTGATAGGGCTGAGATAGGGTAAGAAGCCACCACTGAGAGCAAGAGTGTTCACCTAGTATGTTCTAAGTTCTGTCACTTGGCCACCAAAACATGTGTTTTTGCTTGTGTCATGCTGGGACTACCTGTGGCCACAAAAGCATAGCCCTGCAGCTATTGGTGAGGAACAGCCCTAGTCACCCCTTCACCTTTAGCCACAAACCTTGAACAGAAGAACAGTACTTCTGTGAGAAGAAACTGCATATTATGCGAACTAATAATTGGTCTCCAAAGCAGAGTCCATCCATAGGCTCCAGCACGAGTCTCAGTCACACACAGGGCTGCAATGTCCTGGTAGACCTCCCTTTGGAGACTAACGAAGGAGACCCAGAAATGTAGGTAGGAAACATGTTAGCCCTTTACTGGCAGGATTCATTAGTACCTCCCAGGGAGGACACGCAGACATCAACTGTTGAACACTGTCCTGTGGTCTGGCTGCTGCTCAAAAACATCTCACTGGGGATTAATGGCCTCAGCAATTACCTCCCAGACTTTAACCTCTGCTTTCTGGGAAGGTCACTGAGAAGATAGTAAGACAACACTACTCCAGTTCTGGAGGCAT